CCTGGCACCCCTCCGCCTCCCCCCGGGAGGCCTCTCGGAGCCCCTCCGGAGGAGCCACGGCCCCGCGCCCCCTCCTCAGCCCCAGGCGGCTCCCCCGCGGCCCCCTCTTCCCTCAGCGAGTCGCCGGTAACGGCAGCCTCGGGGCTCTCTGGGCGGCGGGTTGTGTCACCCGGTGGGTTGGGGAGGGAGCCGGGGGCAGCCGGCCTCACCCCGCGCCCTCGGTGCCTGGACGTGGTCGGCCCAAGTTGGGAGGTGGTAAGGAAAACGCAGGCATAAGGGCAGTGGCTTGCAGGAACACGCGGAGCAGCCCTCTGTTTTCCACGCAGTGGGATTCCAGCGCTGTCAGTCCTGCCTGGAAAACCTCCAATTCAAGGTGAACCCAACTCTGGAAGGAGTAATTGCGCTAATTGAGGCCTCCCAGTTCTGGTAAAACCGGGTGTGTTTCTTCGAGGGGAGGCAAAGCTGCCTCCTTTGCCTCAGCAGCGTAATAGGGGTGTCACCTGGGGAGATGCGGTATGGGTTGTGTGTCTGGGTAGGCTTGTAGGATGATAAAGAACCGTGTTTAATCCCATAGTGTAACCGAACTGTTGCTGGGCGAGAGGGGGGTGAATATTTTCAGAGGTTGGCTCCCAGTGCACCGCTCAGGCAGCTTGTCTGAATAAATATCTAGGGAGATGCTGAAGTGGCCCAGTCGGATGCTGTGTTGTTCCTGCTCTTTTCCTCTGTTAAGGTGTTTTTTTATGCATTTGTGTCTGTACCTGAGACATCGAGGTGTAACAAAGCACTTGTGTTAAGGCCGAGGTGCTTAGCGAGGTGTCCATAAAGCTGAACTTGGACAACTTTCTTATTCATTAATTATTCACTGGGAGCTTAAGGTGTGTCAGACTTTGTCAAACCAAGCTCTGAAACTGCTTCTGTGCCAGCAAACAGCAAGTTTCCCGGTGCTTCTGGAATCAGTGAAGTAGCAGCCACCTGTAAACTCATTTACATGGGGGATAGCTGTATGCTCCAAGCGAGCGCAGCAGTGGGTGTCCCGAGAGGAAATCAGCTTTGCTAGGAAGGCTGCAGCAAAGTGGGGTTTGTGCTGGAGGTATGCGAGTACGGGAACAGTCACCCTCCTTTATAGGACTTGATTCAAAGAAGCGGGGCTTATATGTGCTCTTCATCTTGCCTTTTGGAATTCACACCCACTTGAACAGCCTGAAGAGGAGAAAACCTGATCAATGCGCTCTGTGGAAGGGGAAAATTAATACCTGTGGTTTTTGTAGGAGTTAGAATGAGTGCAGGTGAGTATTCAGATAACGAGGACACTACCTTCCGGGATCATACATACTCTGGCTTCCTTCAGAATAAAACATGCAGGTCAGCTGCTACAGACCTTGTGCCTGAAACTGTGGAAGAGGTCTCATAACAAAACAGGTTTTGGACAATTTTATTTTAAGGCAAAGTCATGAGAACACAGATAAGCAGGGCTTATGCTGTAGTTGTAGACAGATTTGAGTGTCTGTGGGCTGTTCTGCTCCTGCCCATTTTGAGACGCACAAGAAGGATGCATGGTAGTAGTATTATGATGCAAAGTTTTAGCTAATATATTCAGCCTTTAAGCAAAATCTTAATGTTGCAAAGGCAAATGCCTCACAGCTTCCCAGGCAGTGGAGGAGGATCAGTGTACGCGCAGGAGTGTGATCTTCCAGTTCTTCCACATGATGCTTGTTGGCTTTGGGGGAGTGCAGCCCAAAAAGTGTGGGTGTTTGGTTGGGTTTTTTTTTCATTCTTTTGACTATTAGGAACTTGAGCGTTTTGGCTTCTTCCATTAGACACAGGAGTTGCCAGTAGTAAATAGTTCTCCTAGTTAGAGCTGGCCAAGCCAGAAAGGTTTTAAAGGACGTTATGCGCCTCTAAACTTGGCGAGTTGTAACAAGCCTGAACCATATTTAATATTTGTAGAGGCATCTTGCCCCACTGAAATGTTCTTTGGCATAGTTGTGAAATCCTGGTGAAATATTGCACTCTGTTTATTTAAAGACATTGTTTTCACTTCCATGAACTGCTAACCTTTCTGACACAGCTGGTGATTGATAAATATAATTGTGGTCAAAGGTATCTCAGTTATCCAGGTGCTCTTTGTACCTTTTTAAAAAAGCGAATCCCTTCTTACCAAGATAGAGCGTAACTTCCACAACTGTTTTGTTTGCCCAGCTTGTGGAATGGCTTTTGCCATTGTGCTCTAATAAGGCAGGAAGACTAAGGAGATACAGGCACGTGTCCCTTCAGGTGGTGTCTTGGGAAGTCCTTTAACTTTTCATGAGGTAATAATGGCACTGTCTGCATTTGGGATGGTAGCTATTTCTTTTTTTTTAATAATCAATAAAAGAATCCTAAAGCACAGCCTGGACGAAGCTGGCCCTTTTGTATCCTGCAGCGTGTTACACAGCTAAAAATTAGTAGGGGCCTGAAATGATTAGTATCTGGCTGGTGGCCCAGAAAGAGGGAAAGCTGGGTCTGGCAGCATTTGACAGTAATTTTCTGTAAGACAAGTGTCCTTAGCTCTTTCATTGTCCAATTGATTCTTTAACAATAGTGCTCCCGTTTGTAATGCTGAGTCTATAGTGCTGCTCCAGCAGGAAAAGCAAGAGGTGTGCTAGTCACTGGCTAGTGCACATGCTGCAGAAAACAAGAGGCCTTGGATGACTCCTTCAGAGAAATAGGTGGTGTGTAAAAAAAAAAACAAAAACCCAACCAAAAAAACAACCCAAAACCAACCAACCAAAAAAAACCCCAAACACAAAACCCACAAAAAACCCCAAAACAACAACAACAAAACAACCCAAAAAACCCTGAGCCCCACCTCAAAAGCCCTCCAAAATTATATTTGGCAGGAGTGGCAATGGTTGTGTGAGATACCATTGTAATGTGAGCAGGTGATACTCAAAACTGCTGCTTTGTGTTTTTTTTGCCTAATGGTCTTTGATGGTTTTCTTCTTTCTTTCTGTCCAGGCTCTTTACTTCTTCAGTAAGAAAAAGGAAATAAGAAGTTGGATTTCACTGAGGTTATGTTTAAAGTAGCTTTCTTTCCCCGAATGTTTAACCGAGCCATAAGATTAAAAGGCATCTACTTGTGGTATTTCTTAAACTGATTATTTTAGTATTTGGGTATGTTTTTAATGAACTAGCTTTCATGTCTGAGCTGCAGTCAAAACTTTAAGATCTAATTTCTTCTGGTTTTCAAAGCAAGTTGACTCATCAGTTTAGCCTTGTGCTGCAGACCTAAAATGTCGGAAGATGTTCCCCTTTCACAATATTGCAATTTTGTGATTTTCCTTTTTTCCCCCTAATGATAAAATTCTGATGCTCCTAAATAAAATTTGGGGAATAAATGTTTGTATCTGGGGTCTGTTTGCCCATGTAAATAAGCCTAGTGCAACTTTAGTTTTTCCGTAGTTATGCTGGGTTTTCACTTAGCATTTCTAGAAAGAAATGTAAATTTGCTTTCCTATCAGCACTCGCTATTTTCTTGACTCCCCGCCCCATGCTCCATGCTTGCAGCTTTTGCTCCTGTTTTTTCACCTCGTCTCCTCTTGCGAGCCTTTTTGCTTCCTGCTCCTTCAAAGTGTCTTGTTGGTGCTGGAACGTGGCACGTCCTCTGTATGTGATGAGCTTTTTAATCCCTGCTCGCTGCCGAACTTTGTGCCGTACTTGCTGCCAGAGCCACAGGTGAGCCTTGGCACTTGCTTTTAATCTGGGTGAAGCAGTGTGCAAATCTGCGGCAGGATAGAAAGACTTTGCAAGGATCTAAGTGGTATTTAACAAAGTTTACTTGCAGACCACACATAGCTTCTCAGCTGTGTTTTAAATGTTAATATTGAATTTGAAATATTGGAGGTGACAGATAAAATGCATAGTAATGAGATCCTTCTAAAGAAAGCTCAGTGCTAATTCCAAAGGAAATGAGCTTTTAATTAGTGTCTTATCTTGAGTATGCCACCTTTTCTTTTTTCCTCATTTATATTGCTTGTATTATTAGAGTTAAAGATCAGCTGGTGTCCCCTGATATGGGAACCAGTTGGCTGGTGACACTTTATAAAATCTGATTTACAGACTCTTGATTACGTGTAGCTTGTTGATCACAAAATAAATTGGCTTGGCCATGTTTTCAGGAGTTAGAATTTATTGTTGTCTGAAGTCGCGCCTTTGGAAATTAAGATGTTCAGGGAATACCCATGTTGCTGCCCATGCAGTATCTACTGTACAGTTAGACACTTTTGAGCACTGAATCTCTGCTCTTTCAGGAATGATAGATTCCCTGTTTCATTATTATAAAAACCTTAACGGAATTTTCTGAAGCAGCTGGAAATGCTACACAGTAAGGTTAGCCACTCAGGGGGAAAAAAAACAAACTCCCAAAACCCATTTAGCTTGTGCTTTAAAATGACCTTGGTGAGGTTGAGAACAGTAAGGTTTCTGTTTGATTAAGGTTCTTTTCAAATGGGCTTTCCACGGCACTATTAGTTTAAGAATATGTAAAATAGCAAGTGATATTTTTAAATTTCAGCAAGCATGCGTGTAGTTTGGATCCAGACTGAGAGATGGAGAGATGATTTGGATTAGCTTGCCTAACGAAGCTCGCTTGAGCGGAGGGTCTCCATGTCTGGCAGGGTCCGATGTTTCCCAGAGAAGGTGCTGAGGAGGCACCACGGTTCAGCATGCGCCCTGCAAATGGGAGTGGTGCTGGCCTACGTTTACTGGGGTTTAGGGGTAATGCATAAACCCATGAAAAAGCGAGGTAAGAACAGAGCTGAAGTGAGTGAGCATAAAATGAGCTTGACTTGGTGGTAAAGCACTTAACCTTCCTAGTTCCCACCACATGCGGGAAGATCAACACTCCGCTTAGCTTCTAAAGTGGCTTCATTCAAGCTCAGTGTCTTCTGTCCTGCTTCTTGGCATGAAAAATTAAGTGTATTCCAGAGTATTAGAACTTTTTCTGTGTCCCTTGTAGGGTGCTTGTGAGGTTAGTTTAGGCTGTGTGTTTCAGTGAGAAGCCTTCTGAACAGGCAAGTCTGCTAGTGTGTCCCCAGGCTGGTCTAACATGGGAATGGGGCTGTCGGTGTGTGTCTTTTCCTCGTTTTAATTGCATTAAGGTATGCAGGAAATTCCAGAAAGCTTTGAAACAAAACCAACTGATCAGGAGCTCTTAGAGCTGTTGAGGCCATGGGGCTTCCCTTGGAAGTGAATATTTGGGATATTTATTTGCACTTCTCAATTTTGGAGATACCAGATGTTGATCTCGCCTTCAGTAAGTGTCTGGTGCTTGATAAGGCAGTTTTGTTCCTCTTAAAATTCCATCTCCATGTTGAAAGTGGGATGAGTTCTCTGTTTTTTCCTGGGTGTGGTTTTCCTGAAGATGTATTTTTGAGTTTTCCTTCTCTTACAAAAAAAAGAGGAAGTCTAAATCTGAACAGAACGAGCTTATTTTACCATTAATTATATTTAATGATATTTGAATTTCCCATAGAAATCTTCTCAATACCAAAAGATACCAATTAATTCCTACAAAAAACGCTTGAAGAAATAAAAAATTGTTTGTATCACTCAGTCGAAATGGGTGAATGTCAACCATGCTTCCTTAACAGTCCATCAGCTCGGCTGCAAAGGCAACTGTGGCAAAGCTCTAAAAATCACGCCCTACAAGTGTAGTTCTTGTTGCTTACGGTAGGATACATTCCCACAAAGTGCCTGAAGCTTTCAGATCTGCGGGCTACCTAACCTGGACGGCTCGTATCTCCTTTTCGTTTTGGAATACTCATGGTATTTGCCACATTTTTAGATAGAATCGAGTTGTTTAAATGGACCTGAATGCTATCCAGTCAGGTAACCTTCACACAATATTGAATTTTACTTTTCAGGGAAAATATGAATGGAAGAAAAAAAAAAAAAGCTGTTGGATTGCCTTGTGCAGTTTGATGTTACAGGAGATGGCTACATACTGTTTTGACTGAATCGGAAATAATGGAAGTCTGCTGGCTTAATTTTCTTTGTAATGATTTGTTTTAAGCAGCATTTGAAGAGATACAAGAATTAATTCTTAAATTGCTTGTTGAGCTGACTGTTTAAGAGCATGGTTTGCAATTGCAACCAGTTGTCGTAAGTGAGCAGAGCAGAGGCAGTGAGCTGACCTGGATGGGTTTAGTTGCTGAGTGTCTCGACTTTAGAGAGAGATGTCATATTTCTGCAGAAGCCACTGTCAAATCAGTGTACTCTGAAAATAGGATTCTGGCTTGTGGTTGGAAGTAGAGGGGGGGGGTTGAAAAGACTTTTTTTGGGTCTGTGCCTGTTTGATTTACACTTCTGCTTTTTGATAAGCAGAAATTCTCTTCTTTAGGATATATTGTTAAAAATGTTGACTTTGATTTTGGTGAAATGGAGCTATGACATCACAACCTATTTATTCAAGCTCTCCTGTTAAAAAGGTACCCGAATACAAAGTTGGGTACAGAAGGCTGCTGGTTATGTTATCTTAGCTGGTTTTGTTAAATTCTTTTAAAAAATAAAATTGTTTTAACTGTACTGTGTATCTTAAGGACTAATCGGCTCTTGCCATCCCTGCTGTTTAATGTAGGCTTTCTTAAAAACCCTAAGAAGCTTTCCTCTCCTAGCAGGGCTTTCAGATGTCTCTCTTCCTAATGATAAATGTCAACAAATGAAATCAGAGCATCTTCTGCTGCAGTAAGGGGGAAGTAATTTTCTCAATGTGCAGGGAGTTTTTTTGTTTGGTTTTTGGGTTTTTTTGATATACTGTTTCTCCAGGTAGCTGAGAAACCAAAACAGATCACATACTTCATACTGAAGAGAAGGCAAGCACTTCTGTGATGCGTCTGGTTGTACTTAAACCATCTGGTTGTACTCCAGAGGAAAATACCCATGCAGGCAGAGCTGGCTGTGTGCACCCAGCAGCCTCCTGTCCCCACAGGTGTGTGGCCAGGGTTTGCTTTGGTGCCATTGGCTTTCCCAACCACAGAAACAAACTGCTGGGAATAACTTTCCCATGGCTTGTGAGGTTTTCCACTTGTTGATAATAAAAATGTAATGAACAACATGAACAGCACTAGGGTTGCTCTACAGATGAGGAAAATGAAGGATGAGGCATCTGTGGAAGAGCAGGGAAGATGCTGAGTATAATTGCAGTTGTGATTTTTTTTTTTTTTTTTTTAATCTTTTCTTAGCGTTGTGCACCTCAAAACCTGTAACAATGTGAAACAAAGTGGGTTTTTCCCTTGCCCACATGACAAATTTGCACTGGAGCTGGCATACAGAAAGTGCATTTAGATCTCTATTATATGCCAGTCCCACAGCTGAAGTGTCGGAGATCTGCATGCTTTGTACCATGACAGCCACCTTCCTCCACGTTAGTGGGTTTTGCTCTGTTTTTTGTGCACCGAGTATTCTTCCAGAAAAATCTGAATTTCCCAGGAAGTTAAACTGTCAGAAAAGCTACTTGCTTTTGGGTAGGTGGGAGGAACAGCTTCATCCTGCTCAGCCATATGTTAGCAGTAATTAAAGCCAGCAGGGTTTTAGGATTAGAAAAGGGTAAGAATTTGATCACCTCCACAGCCCGGACATCCCAGGACCCCCAGCACTCAGTGCATGGTGTTACAGATGTCCCATTGCCCTTTAGCTTGTAAAAATGCTTCTTGAGGCCTGTGGCCTTGCCAGCATGGGGCTATTTCTGACCCTGAGCACCCTGCGACCTGGGTGCTCCCTGCAACCCGTTCTAGGGCTCGCCTTCTAGCCGCTCCGCTTGGAAGCCTCATGGGTGCATTGCAACCAAGGAATGTGTTCTTTATCTTCTTTTTCTTTTTTTTTTTTTTAAGCTATTTTCAGTGCTTCCCTCAGCAGACAACAGGCTTTCTGCAAATCCCTGCTGTGTAGCTGAAGTTTCGCGTACCTCCGATGCGTAAGAGCGTGCCACCAATGCCAGGGTCAACCAGGCTGTCGCACTTTTTTTGAGGAAACTTGACGGAGGTAACCAGAGCTTCCCGCTGGGAGGCTTGGCAACCCCCCTGCAGCAGCGTTTTGAAGGCAGCTGAGCACATTTATGGGCCATGTTGGGCAGCATCTTGCTGTGAAATCTCAGCTTGATGCGCAGTACCGTTGCTCTTCCAGCGGCACGGGGGTAATTCTAGCTTGGATGCTTGTGCACGGTGAATCCTAGGTGGCCAAGCAAAGTAGGTCGGTTATTTTAAAGTGTTATGATTAATTTATAAATGCCACTATTGTGTAGATTTTTAAGTGTTATGATAAATTTATAAACGCCATTATTTCGTAGAGGTAAGGTAGGTTTAAATATTCGGTCTTGTGCGATGGATGGACATTTGCAGTAGAAAACTGGTGCTCCACAGTAAACAAATGCTTTTGCAAGGGAGAACTAGAAGTAAGTGGAAAGGATTATTTTTAAGCTTTAAGCTTTGCACGTCTGGAGATTTTTCTTTAACATGAAATGGTTTTAGAACAGGAAAATCCTTCATGGTATGTAATGCTTCCAAAACCCTTGGCAGATGGGTAACTTTGTTTCCAAACATCAAATGTTTTAGCTGTTTAATGCCTGTTTTTAAGCATGAACAGCACTCTCGGAGAATGTTCATATTAAGCCTGCCGGGAATTAGACTTTTAAAAGAACTGTTTCTGTTATGTTATCACGAAAAGTGAAGAATTACGAA